TTAATTGTTAATAAATATGTTAAAAAAAGAAGTTTAATAAGTATTTATAGAAAAATAGTATAAATGAGTGAAAAAAAAATGTGTTTTCGTCTAAAAATTATGGTTTAGTTTTCCAAGTGTTTGATGAGAAACTCGAAAAACACAGAAGCAATATATTTTAATCGGACAGAATATATAGATGTGTTCAGGGTCGCCACACTTCACGATGCATTAATAGAGTTTAATTATTAATGACATGTAAGATTTTCGCGAGTATTCATTTAAATAAAACTAATATTTTTCATATATACTACGCGACTTAATTTTTGATATAAACTACATACTACCGACGTTTCGGTTACTTTCCAGCAACCGTGATCACGGTTCACGTAAATTAATATTATTATTGATATTAATTGTTAAAATAATATTCATCAGGTTTTTTATTATTATAAACTAATTCTCAGAAGTCATTTCATGAATATTAAGATATAAAGTAACACAGACGCAGGCAAACTATTTCTTTCTTTTGCTGTGTCCATGACTCATGAGAAAGGAGGAAGAGTATAACGCTTTGTCTGGTTCTAGGAAGTTATACAACGAAAGTATGGAGGCCCACCGTGAATCTGATAGAACAATAATTAAATTAAATACATATTGTATCCTATAGAATATCGAGAGGTTGGCTACATTTCGTCTATTCTATAACCTGACGAGATTGCTTTAAACTAATTTGTGGTCACCTATAAGTCTTTCTACACGTCTCTTCACTGAGTCCCAGCAAGTTAGGTGACATTTTTAACCCTACCTAGATGTGGTAGCAAACACGACCACATCTGCGCTTTGTATAAATAATAAATTTATAAACAAAGAAAATATCCCGACGTTCAGTACTGACGCACTTTTACTAAAAACATAACATTTCCTTGCAAATGCCTTAGCTTTGTACTCAATATACCACCCAAATTTAAAATTCCAGGATACCTAATTAATTAATATTTCAAATAAAACAACATTTAAATTTATATATTTTAATATGTATCACGCAGTCAACCCTGGAATAATCTCAAGAGGATCTTGTAGCTGACTTTAACGTGACCGGTAATGGCGGAGTGATAAGAAACAGGCGGCCATAAAACACTCTCATATATATACATAGTTTATTTATTTAATTGATTACAAGTACATTTAAAAATATCTAAATAGTTATTATAATAGAAACAAAATCTATACTTATAATAAATCTGTAGAGAGGTCAATTCTGTACATAAAATATATTTAAAAAATAACTATCAGGGGGTGGTTAGGGATCGGTAATGATGGCAAAAACGCAATCAGTAAAATTTTAAACTGTTATGCAATGACAATTAACAAGGCTTTTCGTGTTGCTGGAGTAGATCTCAGTGTCAGTTGTTTCTCGCATGGTCAGTTGTATGTTGCTCTTTCCCGTGTTAACAGTTCTAAAAATCCTTATGTTTACGTGCCGGACGTCAACTTTCAATATAGTTTGCCCGTAGGCTTTGCACTGAAGTATTTTCGTTCTATAGGTACCTTTACCTTACCTTTATAAGGCAGTGGTACTTATATTGCCACCAGAATTTGAACCTTAACACATTATTATAAAGTTTAAAACCAATCAATATTTTTAAGTTCTATGTCTTATAAAGGGTTAAGCCTTATGTGAACGTGATCTTAATAATATTACCAATATAAATAATATTAATAAATATTACCAATACATTAACTTAATACACAAAGAGTTACACGCTGACGGAGTCGCGGGCACAGCTATCTATAATTTTCTGCCGGAAGTCACTATTCCACGCGGACGAAGTCGCGGGTAAAAGCTAGTTATATATATAATTTTATAATCTATGTTTTCATATGCACTGGTTTTTTTTTAATATTCTAAAAATGTCAATTATTTTATTTATTAGACGAAATATTATCTTGAGTATTGTGTGGAAAGGAATAAAAACGTTATTTATTTATTATTATTTAGAATAGAAGTCTTGTTATAATGTTTCTATAAACGCCATTTGCAATGACATGTGTCAAAATTGTCAAACAATTTACAAGACAAGTGGCGCGATTTAAATTATCTTCTATATCTTCTATCTTCTATATATATAAAAATGGATTGCTGTTCCTTAGTCTCGCTAAAACTCGAGAACAGCTGAACGGATTTATCTTATCTTAGTCTTGAAATGTTCGTGGAGGCTCAGGGAAGGTATAAAAGGTGAAAAAAAAATTATTCATTACTGGGAAAACCATAAAAACAGAACTTTTCTATTTCCCATACAAACGTCTTTTTTGACATTAGATGTGACAGCTAACTAATATGTCAATCATTCTGTCGCACTTCAGAACACGGAGATTTATGGCTTTAATAGGTAAACTCCAAAAATATAAATAAGAAAACGTGATAGACATTTCTTGATTATAGGGCGATACGAAGTTCGCCAGGTCTTCTAGTTAATTAATAAAGAATGATTGTTATGATTTAAGAAAGTGAATTTAAAAGAAATATTATTGTCGAAGACTTCATTTAAACACGAACACCATTTAATAAATATTTATTTCAAAATCATATTACAAACTATTTGTAAACTATTTGTTATGTAGTATTGAGAGGTAATTATAGTATGGCCAGCACAGGTTTTAGAAAACTACGTAACTTACTTATATGTATTTTATAATGAGAACTACATATTATAACTTATAACCTACACCTAAGACTACATGATTGACCCGATGTTATGATAGCAATACCATTCCATAGCTTGTGTGTATCAGGAATCTTCTGGTTCACACGGCTTGGTGTTCGTTCCACTGAGTCAGCGGCGTCAAGAGTTATATATTTTATACATACAACGATGTCGCCCGGCGATGTTCATTTATTTGTGTATGTCCTGAATCCAGTAGTTAGTGATAAAACAAGTTCTAACATATAACCTGTCGTTCTGTTGGAGCTGAGCCAACTACAGTGATCGTATATTTCTCCTGACGATAACATGTTCGAGTTTTGTTTATCAAATCGTAAAACTAGCGCCGGCCGCCGGCAGACGCGGAGACTGTCAATATTGAAATTACACGAATATACACGATTTAGAAGTTTTTAGGGGTCAATAAAATTAATATTATAATTATTAACTATGCGTTTTTTATTGTTTTAACTATACATATATTCCCGACGTTTCGGTTACTATGCAGAAAGCGTGATCATTAAGACGAGATGAGAATGACTTTTTTAAGGCTCGTTCTGTTCTTCATACTTTTAAACAAATATTATAAAGTATTTTTAAAACGTGTAAAGGAAAAATTTAAAAAATTAATGCTTATCACCAATTCGTACGTCACTTCATTAAAGAAGCATTTCGTTTTTATTGAATAACACACGATATTAAGAGGTGAAACCTCTCATCATTCCATGTATTCACGGTGCGTGTGTCGGGTCCATCGTTGTAGTGAGAGGAGCTTCAACAGTGACTGTGACTTGTGACCCAGGTGTAGGTTTAAGGGGTCCCTATCTCAAGTTAAACGCCCACCTACACCGTACAAGCTTTTCTCTCTACCAAATTTGAAATGAACTTACTAGAGCTGCCTTCAAAGTACGTACCAAGAATGCACTGATATTAGTTCTGGAGAGTTTTTATTTAATCATTTATCCTATTTATCCTGTCACTACACACTCTGAGCTTTGGTTTTTTTCACTACATTCTGACTTCTGAAGTACCTAATTCACTTGTTATTTTAACTAAACATTATGTAGACAATTCGTACATACTAAAAAGTAAATATAGTTATGGCTAACATTATGTTTATATATAAATAACGAGTGGGCTTCTCACGGCCGAGATTCTAAATTAATTGTAAATAAGTAAATATAATAAATAATAATTTGTAAAAATAAATAAATATTTGTGGTAAAATTGACATATGGTTTTTTTTCTTAATCCGCTTTCCGTGTAAAACGGGCACATGTTTAACTCATACAGCCTGACGTGTTTACGTAATAAATAAAATCTATTGATCTTAAATTCAATCGTCCACTATAATGTATGTCTTCACTGTTTTTAATTGCCTCTCAACAAATTTTTAACGTTTCTTAAACAAATCGTAAAAGACTTCAATCATTCTAAACAAAACAAATAATATTGACGGGTTAATGCGTCAGTATTACAAAATTAAAGAGAAGGAAGATTTAACAATGAAAAAAGAAGGAGATTTAACAATGAGAATTATTATAAACGAATGACATATATATATAAAAAATCAATAAAAAATTCGAGGTAAATAGAAATGATATCAATAAAATAATAATTTACTGCATATTTCAACAACAAATGACAATATATGTATGTAAATAGAGAATAGAAATGGTTAAAATAAAAGTTTATAAATACATATCTTTATTAAAGTATAAGTTACGTTTTCTATATTTCCATTACACTATTTCCAGCAATTGAAAGCTTTCTGTATATAATTTATTTCGCTTTTTTCAACAGATTTCTTTGTTTATTTTTGTTTACGTAGTTCATAATGTAAGTCGATTCCAAGCATCCAGCGAATCATATATTATTTATATTTCTTTATATTGATAAAACTAAGAATATTATAAGTCATCTGTAGAGCGGATTCATAATTATAAACTTAAACAACCTCATACTTCTTGGTCGTGCAACCTTTTTTTATCTGTCACAATGTTTAACAAGCGATGACACACGACATACAGTCTGCTAATTCCGAGTTTATTGGTTTCAATGCCTTTCGATTCTATTTATTGTATATAACTTTTATTGGCACCGCGTCGTCTATAAAGTCTCGAAATAAACCCGCCCACAGATCCTCCAGTAGCCTGGAGTCCGCCGCCACTTTGACACACGTCCGCGCGCTATTTTCGATTTTGACGTTTCAGCTTTTTTTCCCAACGGGCAGTGAGTGCACTGATTTTTAAATTGAAATAGATCAAGGAGGTTTTATATGTTAAATTTGTATTTTATAAATCGCGGGATAAAAAAATGAGGTCGAAAGACATGATCGGAATATATTTTTTAGTTTTTCTCTGTTTCGATGTTAACGCTAAGTCAGAGGAGAAGAATAATGTCAGTTCTGAAACGAAATTCACATACAAGGTGAGTTATAATAATAATTATTAATAAAAAAAATAATCTTTTTTACTAAAAAAAAAATCTAACATAATTATGTATATTTGTATGTTTATTTTGCAACTCCTAATATTTTTTTTAAATCTCTAAATATTAATATTATCTTTAAATTATTAAATTTAAAAGTAAATATACATTGAACTAAAACCTATGTATTATTCATATTAAGTCTGAAGTAATTTTTATTATAAGACCATTATCACAATGACACGAATTTTAATTCAAAAATATCACAAAAGTTTTAAATCCTAGATAATTTATTTCAACAAAATTCATTATTTATTGAATCATTTTGTAACACTTACGTCAAATTATTAATGCCGTAATAAAAAGTAATAATAATAGTAGCGGGCCGCCTCGCGTCAACATAATTGTCATTTTATTTCTGTTTCATAATTTTGCCAACAAAATTACATTGGAAATAAAAAAGTGAATTATGTTGTTCAAATATTAATTCTAGTGACTAAATCTGAAAGTACGACAGTCGTAGTGTATGTTCTTGTATCCATTTTTTTTATAGATTGCTTCACAGTCAAAGATTTGTATTCTAACTTCGAGTTTCGTCTCAAAATGTTTTCTCCCTTGGTGCAAGCAATAGAATGAATAACTAACAATATTCGCCCTTTTAAAGACATTAATGTATCACAAAGTGTTAAAACTCAATTAAAGTTAAAAAATGACAATTATCAATTGTTGAATATAACTAGCTTTCCGCTCGCAGCTTCGCCCGCGTGGAGTTCGGTTATATCGCGTTACCAAGAGAACCTTTCAGAAGTCTGGGATAACAACTATCCTATGTTCTTTCTCAAGGTCAACTCTATGTCTGTACCAAATTTCATTAAAATCAGTTCAGTGGTTTAGGGGTGAAAAGCGTAACAAACAGACAGACAGAGTTACTTTCGCATTTATAATATTAGTAGGAATTCGGAATCCACAACCGTGCCCATATGTACGTGGTCAGTTGATTCATAACTGTTACTAAAGATGCAGAATGTGGCTTATAATTGTGTTTGAAATTTATTGAAAATATAAATAATTGAATTGAATAAAACGGCGAGTTTGAGGCCCAGTTACACCAAACTTTGTTTAAACATAAACGAGACATTTACTAATGATTAATGAACCTTCAAAAATATAATTGTCTCAATTATATAGGGTGGCAACCGGAGGTTCCAGGAAAACTACGAAACTTACTTATATGTATATCATAATAAGAACTACATATTAAAACTTATAACCTACACCTAAGACTACATGATTGACCCGATGTTATGATAGCAATACCATTCCATAGCTTGTGTGTATCAGGAATCTTCTGGTTCACACGCTTGGTGTTCGTTCCGCGGAGTCAGAGGCGTCAAGAGTTATATTTTATACATACAACGATGTCGCCCCGGCGATGTTCATTTATTTTTTTAATAAGTAACGCGTACGCGACAAGTTTCAGTGTTAATTCTCAATGTTCGTTACTCCCAGTCATGTAACAGAATGTGTGTGTCCAGTATGTATAGTTTACAGACACGAGTTGATGCTCATGTTGATACATCACAATGGTTCAGTATTATCATTCATTATAATCACTCATCATATAGGCCAGTGAAGAAGCCTTTAAAATTAATGAAAGTAGAATGAAACCCATTAGAAAAGGAGGGGAAAATTATAAAAATTAAGGGAAAAATAATCTGAGGTCGGGAAAGGTTTGGTGGTGGGTATTTAAGGGTAAAAATTGGGTTTTCTCGATTTCCAGCAAAACTAAAAGTCCTAATGAAAAATGTTATGTGGCAAAGTTGTAGGTAATAAAAAGATCTAAAACTTTTGTATTAACATTTTTTTCAACTTACCTCAAAATTTATGTTTAAAATTCAAAAAAGCAAGTTTATTGTTTTTTATTTTTATCTCTTCCAAAAACAATATTTTGCCACGAAATTTGGTGAAAATTTTCCTTTTGATGTCCCAAATAGGTACACTGTAATTAATTTGATTAGAAATATTTATTTTTTAGCTTATTTTGAATAAACATCCAAAATCACCCGTCAAAATATGAGTTTTTTTCAAATATTTGTTATGTTGATATTGTTAAAATCTCTATTTTCTGTTTCTTTCTTGATGTACCATTTTTGGATAAAATAATCATGCCTTTTAATAAAATGACACTGAATTTTTAATTGTGTACTCTGGAAGGTCTCCAGAAAATGCCTATTTTATAAAATTTACAGAAAATTTACATTAAAATACTAAAACTGTTAATAGTTTGTCTTATTTGAATGAAATTCATATTTTTTTCTACGTGTGTTGTGTGAAGGTATGAGAAGATCCGATTTTCTTGATGATGATTTTTCTATCAAAGCTGTCTTCTTCATGGCATGGAAGCAGAGCTGCCAAGGATATCTTCCTTATGTCATCATGAGGTTCAACAGAATACATTCTGAAGGTTTTCGATAGCTACGTGTTTAAGAATAAGAATATATCGTTTTCTTTATGTTTCGTGAACTTATTTGTTAGTAAGAGTTGAAAATATAACACAAGAAACAGACGATATATCCCTACTAATATTATAAATGCGAAAGTAACTCTGTCTGTTACGCTTTCACGCCTAAACCACTGAACTGATTTTAATAAAATTTGGTACAGACATAGAGTTGACCTTGACAATGAACATAGTATAGTTTTTATCCCAGACTTTTGAAAGGTTCTCTTGGAAACGCGATATAACCGAACTCCACGCGGGTTAAGCTGCGGGCGGAAAGCTAGTATACATGTATACTTTTAACGTCGCGTTTGTAGTATAAAGATACAGACTCATACTAAGCTTCCAGGTGAATCTTCATTTATTTTAGAAGATTTATTTCAGCTCTTCGTTTATTTTCAGTTTCACGGAATATATTAAACAGAATGCTCTGGTTTCATAAATTTTATTGAATCTCTTAACATTTGTTTAGTAAAAACGTTTTTAAATTTTATCTTCCGTGGATTATAAATATATTTTTGATGAAATATTAATTTTAGTTACCAAAATAACTAATCGCGTAACTTTAGTTTTTTCTATATATCTTAAATGAATTATTTAAGTAATAGATTAGATATATTTCGCAGTAATTATCTTAAATATAAAATTCTCGTGTTGCGTTGTTAGACTGAGAGCTTCTACGAAAAGGCTGGACCGATTTTGATGACATTTTGTGAGTTTTCAATCAGTTTGAGAATCGGCCACCATCTATTTTTCATACTCCTAACTCCTAAGTAAAAAAGGGTTGTTCCCACTTAAATATATTATATAATTTTTGGACGAAATTTTTGTGTTATTACTTTTTTATAATGTAGCTTTAAAAATACATACAACCCACAATTTTTACCTTTTTATCATCAACCCCTATTTTTTTATGCTCAAAATAATGTTTTGCCGGGTCAGCTAGTATATATACATATATATAAAACACTTGCTATCCTTAATATGATCTAAGACTTTCGTATTAATTTAAATGCAACAAATATTTTCGTAAACTTCTCGTATTTTATTATTTCAACTACATACCGACGTTTCTGTTAATTTACAAGTTTACAGCCGTAATCATTAAGACGAGGTGAGAACTACTATTTATAATGTTAATACATTAGTTTCATTTATAACACTTGTATGTTTAAACTTGTAAACAACAGTTTCTTATTCTCACGTCCAAACTGTCGGTATATAAGTATCGGTGACAGACGCACTGACTGATCGTACAAAATATATACAACAAATATGTATATTGAGAGACTTATCATCTTATAACTTGTGATAGAATGTACAGGCTTTGTTTTTTAGGAATAGGGAAGATTGGGAATAACTAATAAGGGAATAGTAGGAAAACGTGGGAGAAGGATAGAGCATCTGTCTCTCTCACTCATCATACTAAACGTAGTCATTAAAGACTACTTCACGCCGATCTTCAGTGAGAGGCTGGTACTTCCCCGGTCGAGACAGACCATGTTCGAGCTGTAGTAACTTGACCACAGCTAGGCTCTACTACATATAAAAATTGCAATATACAAAAATGACAAACTATTAAAGGCATTTTTCACAAACTAGTTTTCGTCCGCAACTTCGTCTGCTTCAGTAATTTATATCTGATCGGGCGAACTCTGTTTCTTAAACAAATTTAGTTAAGATTTTGAAATTGACTAAGTTATTTTTTTTTTCAATCAGATGATAAGTATCCCATGTCCGTCTCCTTGTTCTAATCTATCTCTCGACCAATCTTCATCCAAACCCGTACAGTCGTTCTTTAGTTATATATAGTGTAACTAACACGACTTTCTTTTATATGTATAAGATAATAACCAATTTGAGTTATATTCAACATCAATAAAGTCATTTAGTTTAAATTAAAATCAAGTGTAAGGAAACGAAATAACGTGACGAGGCGAGTAAGGAAAGGACTAGTTTATAAACATTGTATTAGTTAGGATGTGTGTCGGAACTAACAGACATACCTACATTATGAACTATAAATAGTTGATAGGATATATTTATAATGTAAAATCCGTAAAGTTCAACCTTCTCTTTCCTGAAGGTTTGTTGAAAGATGAAGAAGGATGAATCTACTTTTTAGACATAGAGAAAGAAAAGAAGTTCTCTTAATAAAAGAAGCATTAATATCTGACTAAATGAAAATAATTACGGCTTCTGTGTTCAAAAGTTTCTTTATATGTATCTCGTATCAACTTTCATTGAAAAAAATCTATTTTCTATAAATTTCGTTATCAATTGAACACTGAGATTCACCACAATCCGAGCTTGGAGCGCGGCCAGAGTTATGAAAATTATAAATAAGATCTTGAATTAAATTTTGAAAGCAAATTACTTTGTTACTGAATTATAAAATGATGTATTTATGTTCTACGGAGAGAGAACTCACCTGGAGCGGAGTTGGGTGTGAAATGTGAATCATTTAACATGGAATGGATTAAGATTTATAATTTAGAATAAAATAATAACATTACTACAAGTTACATCGTATTACTAGATACGATACGTTTACCGTTTTTTTTTTTCAATAACCTACGTTTATTAAATAAGAGAAGATCAATGAATGAAAACCTGTTTAAGAATAACGATGTGATGATATTGATTTGAAAATTTAAATTTTAAGAATGAATAAAGATATATATGTACATATATTATCTTCGTCTTCCTGGCAATTTCCCAGCTTTATCCAGGGCCTGCCTTACAAGTTGTGAATAGTTTTTGCTAATTGTTTTTACGACCGCCCGCCTGCCTGACATCAACCCTCTTTGGGAATTCAATACCTATTATTTATGCTGAATTTTGTGTTTAAATGTAAAATAATGTTATTTCAGAACGACGGTCAGTCCTTACTGTTCGCTGATGAGTTCAAGCAGGTCATCGAGAGGTACATGTTCGGCGTCTGTCCACAATCAATGAAGGTTAGACTTTTACACTTACTAACTTCAAATATAGTTAAACCAGAAACAATTTAACTTGGAATGAATAGTTTAATATAAATGAATAGTTTTAGATGGTTTAAATCAATATAAATAATTATAATGAGGATTTATTATTACATTCTGATGAAAACATAAGTTTTGTACCAAGATTATAATCTTACTTAATGTTAAATGTCAATTGTCACCTTTACGAATTTATTAATAAAAATAATGGAAATTAGTGTTGGTGAATAACTGTTAAACGATCAGTTATTTTCATGGAAGAGAATAGTACAGTTAAAACTTGAAATAAACTTTAAATAAACTTGAAAACTTTCTTAAACTACTTGATTTTATTTCTTCACAAAACATTGCCCTCAGTCCCTTATAGTTTGTACGTAAACAAACTAGATGGCGTTAAACGTTTAATTCGTTTTAAAGCAGTCGCGTTGGCTTCAGATGGTGAGCAAGAAGAACGGCTCCTCGTGCGACCTGGACGCGGACCAGCGGGACCTGGCCGGCAGGTGAGTGGGATATAGAGTACCGTGGGCGGTCGTGGGCAATGTGGGCAGTCGTGGGCAACAATTAGTCCTCTATATGCAAGTATCGATTGACATCTGACCATCTAAATAAGTAGTTACGTATAATTAATTCAGTGCAAAATACACCCAAATACCAAAATACACACGAAAATGGACATGTAATTGTTGACTGTCTTTTTGTTTTATGCTAGTAACCACCTTTAAAGGTCATATTTCGTTTTTAATTATTACATCTTAAAAATAAAGTAATTTGGTTTTCGACGAATCATTTGTTTATTGCTTAAAGAAACTATTATAATTCTATATGTAATATATTGTATGTGGTTGTGCAGACTCGCGACTCTATCCCTGAAGGCCCACAGCGTGTCCCGAGGTCAGTGTTCTCGTCTTGGGTCTGCGCTGGCCGCCGTCCTCTCAGACCTCGCGTCCGTGGCGCAGGAGAGAGACGTCATAGCTGTCTGTGAGTTAATATACACATATAGAGATGAGTTTCAACTCTCATATATAAATATCCTTAGTAATATTAATAAAACGTTTATTGTGGAGAGTAAGCTCATTGACTTGTCCACAGCGCTAGCGAACGAGAAAAAACGGAAACTATCCAAGAGTCAGAAGGCGAAGATCCAGGCGAAACAGAGAACGGCTCTTGCTGTGAAGAAGAAGGCGGCGGCAGCAGCGGCCGCGGCGGCTGCTAAAGTGGCGACCTCTTAGATTAATATAAACTACTATAAAAAAATATAGTTATATTAGAAATCGTTCCGGCATTTTACAGAAATTCTAATCACAAGATTATTACTAAATAAGACATTCGTAACCATTGTTTTTATTATACTAGTTCTCATTAATTATCTGTTATTGTTAAAGAAAAAATATTTTATATTTTTAATATCAACGCCATCTATCGACGAATGGCAGAACCGGTCAAACCAGCCTTACTAATATTTTGTCACAATTTTTCTTTATTTTATTTAAGGCCTCATTAATCATTCGCACTGGAATCATGGAATATTCTGCCAAATTTTTTATTGATTTTCTCACATATAATTTATTAATTCTTATTTAAAAAGACATTAACCTCATCTCTTCGCTTCGTTCTCGTTGTATCTTGCACCAGTTCCCGGTGAAGTCTCTTCGTATGTACTAGTCTTATGTATTATTTAAGATGTTAATTTAAGTTACAATAATAAACGAGTTTTTTTATTTTTGTTTTTTATTTCAAAACTCCATGAATTTTATAAAAGATTTAAAATAAAAGCCTCCAGAGCTGTACTCGAGAAAATTAATAAATCTTTGTCGGTAGATAATAAATAACAAAACCAACTGACAGACATTCACATCTCGTCTGTCCTTGATCACCGTTGATGTAAAGTAACAGAAACGTCGGGAGTATGTAGTTAAATATAATTTCACAATAATAAGTTTGAAATCGCCAACCCGTCTTGAGCAAGCGTGGTGATTAATGCTCTAACTTTCTGCATGTGAGAAGAGGACTTACAGCAGTGGACTCTGTTAGGCTAAAAAAAGTATATATAAATAAAATATATAGCAGCTTTTCTTCAGTAATAGTACCTGTCTTCAACACCACCAAGTGCCACAACTATCATCTCTTTATTTTCAATAAAACAACATAATTTATTATAAAAAATGTTTATTTACAAAAAAATCATTCAAAAAATCCATTTGTTCGTCACTAAGAGTATTTTATTAATACAAGTCTTATTGTTTACTGTCACCGAGCCCCGTGGCCGCTCACACTCACTAATACTACAGCGGCCACGGGACCAGCGGTCAATACTTACATACATAATACTGGTAGGATTTGGTTTCGACTGATTCCCTCTACATGATTACCCGGTATTACCGACTATTACCCGGTATTACCGCGCTCTACGTACATTACAGGCAGGTTGCTTCGTTAACATTGTATATATGTGTATATAAGGCGTTCTGGTCGTATAATAATGTAAATGCATTAAAATTCATATAAAAATACATTCTCCAACGTCCGTCTGATCATTATTACTTGAGGAATGTTGTGAGTGAGGTGTCCGGGACGGCTGGCTGCATGTTATATATCATCGTCCCTACTTGAACCTCATGTTTTAAACTAGCTGTTAGGCGAGCCCTCTCCCCAGGTACAGAACCAGTTGTAGTTGAACATGGCAGCGTAGGGATGCTTCCTCTTCTTGTGTAGTCTGAGAGACTCCTCTGAAGCGTACCAGTAGTGCGGGTATGTCTCAAACGGGTACTTGATGGCTTCTTTGGTGTAGGGCCCGTCGTCAGCGGGCAGACAGTACACACAGAAGATCCTGTGTCTCTTCCCCTGGTGCGTCTCCAAGTGTTTCTTGTGGTGTTTCCGTCGGAGGGAGACGTGCGGGCAGCAGGGGCAGGGCAGCGCGAGGGAGCGCGGGGGGCAGCCGTGACGCGCGCCGCAGTGACTCACTAGCGTGGATAGGACTCGGTAACCCTGGAACGATTTTGAAACATCTTTATATATATAATACTTCTGTGAGTGTGTATGTCACTGAACTTCTCTCAAACGACTGGACCGATTCTGATGAAATTTTTTGTGTGTGTTCAAGGGGATCTGGGAATGGTTTAGATTCACAATTCTGTCCGCTGGACAATGTTTTTTAATTAATTTTTAATTTATTAGTAGTTATTGATACAAGCGTTTTTTTTTAGATAAGTTTTGACAACTAACTAATATGTCAATCATTCTGTCGCACTTCAAAACACGGAGATTTATGGCTTTTATAGGTAAAGTCCAAAAATATAAATAAAAAATCATAACAGATATTTCTTCTTCTTCTAGTATATATATATATATATACAATAGTAATTCACCAGTCACCCTGTGTGTATATATATATATATATATATATACAGGGTGACTGGTGAATTACTATCAATATTTAAGGAGAATACTCGGTACATGATTCTCATTCGAATTATGTAAAAAAAATAGGAACTTAATTTTTGACCAAATTTCCCTATAAATAAATAAAGTGTTGGCACGTTCCAAGTGTTCAAGTGTGGACGCGTGCGGCGGCGTGCTGATACAACACCACGTCACGACACGCGTATGTGTGAGTGTCAGTGTATACCTAATCTGTAGGGTGTTCATACGATGCGTAATTAATTACACAACTTTTGGTTAACTTTACTTAGAAGTTTATTAATATTTATGTTATATTAATTTTTATTTTGTCATATATGATCGTCAAATATCACGTCCTCAAATATCGATAGTAATTCACCAGTCACCCTGTATATATATATGTGTGTGTGTTTATACTAAGTGACCGGCAAATGTTGTATGCCATATAAAAAAATAGTGGTTAGTGATAATAAAGTAAAAATATTGGGTTGTATGTATTTTTTTATGCTGGAGTGTGTATATATTTTATGACAGAATGAGATCTAAAACATTGTCGACTATTTAAAATAAAACTAATATTATTTTGAACATATACCCAAAATAATAAGACCAACTGACAGACACTCACATCTCGTCTTAATGATGAAAAGTAACTGTAACTTCGGGAGTATGTAGTTAAAGTACCTATAACTCACAATAATCCTAAACATTGTAGTTTTCTTCAGTATCAGAATATTTTATAAAGCACCTGAAGTGTTCTAATCTCAGTTATATTTTATAGTTACCATCCAAACACATATTCACACAATGACAACATGTCTTCATTAATCTAGACTCCAGATTCTTGTCGCTATTTTATAATTATCCATCCAAAAATATATTCACACAAAGAGAACCTATCTTCATTAATCTAGACTCTAGTCGGTAGAGCTCACACTATATATGTATATAAGTTTGTGTGAAGTGTCCGTTACCTTAAAGCAGTGTTCACAGCGGTAGGGGAAGTTCTTCCACTTGGGGTTCTTCTTGCGGCTGAACACCATGCGGTAGGGCTCCGACGGGAACCAGTCGGACGGGTCCAGGAGCAGCTCCACCAGCTCCGTGCCTGGAACACACAACACATACATAAATATTACATAGAGGAACTTGGACGACCAATCATTAATTGGCACTATTGTATGCCGATATGAACTATATACAGGGTGACTGGTGAATTACTATCAATATTTAAGGAGCATACTCGGTACATGATTCTCATTCGAATTATGTGAAAAAAATAGGTACTTAATTTTTGACCACATTTCCGTATAAATAAATAAAGTGTGTACACGTTCCAAGTGTTCCAAGTGTGGACGCGTGCGGCGGCGTGCTGATACAACACCAAGCCGCCAAACGCGTGTGTGTGTGTGTGTATACCTAATCTGTAGGGTGTTCACACGATGCGTAATTAATTACATAACTTTTGGTTAACTTTACTTAGAAGTTTATTAATATTTATGTTATATTAATTTTTATTTTGTCATATATGATCGTCAAATATCACGTCCTCAAATATCGATAGTCATTCACCAGTCACCCTGTATATATACTAGCTTTCCGCCCACAGCTTCCCCAACGTGGAGTTCGGTTATATCGCGTTTCCAAGAGAACCTTTCAAAAGTCTGGAATAAAAACTGTCCTATGTCTGTACCAAATTTCATTAAAATCAGGTCAGTAGTTTAGGCGTGAAAGCGTAACAGACAGACAGACATAGTTACTTTTGCATTAGTAGGAATACAGATACCAGTGTTTGACCGCGACTTCATCAACGTTAATTTGGGTATTAGTAATATTATATATAAAGCTGACCGGGCGAACTATTCCGACATAGAAGCCGTAAATAACAAGTATTGGAATTTATTAAGTGTTGTTTTTGTTTTGATCAAACAGAATTAAATATCCTATGTCCGTCTCCTTGTTCTAATCTATTTCTCCACCAATGTTCATCCATATCCATACAGTTGTTCTTGAGTTATATATAGTGTAACTAACACGACTTTCTTTTATATAGACAATTATTAATGTATAAGTATTATTAATACCTGGAGGAAGCTTGATCTCGGGTACTGGCTCAGCCGGTGGAGCTGGGGTCACTGTTGTTAGACTTGTGTTGGTAGCTGCCAGGAGACTTGTTAAAATAGTGTTCTGAGCCTGGAAATTAGATAGATTAGATCAAAATCAGTTCAGTCAGTAATAAAAATGTATGAACAGATTCATACTTGTAGTAAAGCTCCGTTTGAAAAGCTCTGGGATAGATCTTTGGGTTTCCGTTTGTATCCTTTAGGCGGTCCTCGTTTCTTTGCTATCTCCCCGTTCTTTTTATACCGCACGACCTCCCCGCTGTCTGTCACAGTCTTAGTCACAGGCGTTATGGTCAGTTTGGCCGGCAGAGAGTATCTTGTGTGAAGGTTCTTGACTATGTTCGTTTGAAGGTTGCTCGTGGCAAATGCGAGAGGGTTAGCCAGATTGAGAGGGTTGTTTACGAATTTGGGTAAAGTAGAGGTCGGTGTGGATGGGTATATTGATAGGGACTTGGGTGTGTTGAAGGAGGTCAACTGATACATTTGTAAGTTCAGCTCCGGCCGGTTGTACTTCATTCGTTTAGGGTCCGGCTCCTCGTCGCTAGATTCTGATTGGGTCGTCAGAGGATCTTTTTCCGAGTTCCGAAACGGCTCTACATGAGCCTCCTTCTCTTGGACGCAAAACATCTGAAACATATTCATTACTTATATTATTATATACATTAGTGCGTCAACATGTTGAATATAACTAGAAGAACGCACTGAAAATAGTGTATTTAGTAACACATTATATAAATGCTCAATGTATCCGAGTTATAAGTTCGTAACTGTATATCGTTAGTAATTACTCAAGAGCTCACACTAGAGGACTCGCGAACACAATAGTTTACATTCCAAATACGTAAATAGCATTTAGTACACTTAAAAGTACTGTTATAATGACAAAAAATGTCGGTTTCAACTTAATATACAGACATCAATTATTATAAGTTATAAATCAACTCGATTGATATTTACGATCATAACATAAGTGTTACAAGAACAATGTTATATTGCACTGTAATATTCATTAGTAATCCATTTTATAACATTACACATTTCAATTCACACGCTCCGTATATGAACTAATTAAAATTAATTCAATGTTTTGAATGATACACTCACCTTTAAATGTGTTTTTCACTTCCAAAACAAATCCCGGGACAGACGGAGCTGCATTCACGTGATGATAAACTTAATATAATATCGGTGGTAAATAAAATAAATGCGAAATAATACATAAGGTTATACGTTATTACAATAATATCAAGACAAAAGTAATTCATACATTCTGACGCTTTACAAAATAAATCACGCCGTCGGCGGCTGTGTTGCCAGTACACGACATATGAATTAAAATAATAATATATACATATTTATAAATATTAAATATTTAATTAGTTAAATTTATTGAAATTATTAATTATGGTCTAATTATAATTATATATTACAGTTATTAAGAGACATTATCGTACTTTATGGGCTTAAAATTACTTATAACACAATAGTGATTAGTCAATGGCCTCAAGTTATGAATTTACTATTAAAGGTATTGAAGCAATGTACTATTGAAGTTTCCTAATACAGGCAGTCCTCGTACTTACGGCATGTTAGGTTCTTGAAATACGCGACGTAAATCGAAACGACGTAAGTCGAGACATATTTTTTCATATGTTTACATGTAAAACTCAAGGGTTAGGTTCCACATGGACTCGAAATAATAAAAAACTGCATTTATAACAAAGGACGTACTTTACGTTTTCGACCGGAGGCACCGGTTGACCTGAAGTGATGCGGTGACCGCGCGCTCTCCGCCCTCTATCTCGAAAACGGTACACCGTATAAAAAAATTTTTTGAAACAAAATTTGTAGAGAATTTAGTATTCTACAATATTGATAATAAATACAAATAGCAAAAAACCCATAGGAAATGAGATATTTCCAAAAAAAGCGCAAAAAAACGATTTTTGTGACCTTTGAACTTGAAATTTAATAGTTGCTTACACCCTACCATATGTAGGTTTTGAGACAACTTTTAGGGTGTCAATATACAACTATTTACAGACTTACAGCTGGGTATCTCGCATTCCGAGGTGAACTTACTATAATGACTGGACTAAAAGTGAACTGGGTATATACTGTCGTAAGAGCCCCGAAGGTTGGGAGATTCAAAACAATATGACTTGAAACGTTGCGATCGATTCTATATTATGTTTTAACACGTATCTACATCAATAACAAAGCCTTGTTTCATTTAGGAAGAAACTGTTCCTCTAATATTGAAAAAGTAACTGAAAATGATAATTTATTTGAGTGACAGAGAAAATAAATTTCCTCTTAAGTCTATAATAATTTCATATTTATTGATGCATTGTAGAACTTAATTATCTTCTTTAAAACAAAGCTTGTAAAGCGATTCCGGGTACAGATAACGAAACGTTTGTATTGACTGACAGGAATGAACAATATGGCGGGAAAATATGACAAGATGAATTACATCTTCGCGTATGTTGTAGTTACAGAGATCTAAGAATTTTGCGATATTTATTTAAATAAAACTAATATTTTCGGATTATGTACTACGCGTATTTCATTATTATTAACTACATACTCTCGACTTTTCCGTTACTTTGCAGCAACCGCGAACACGGACAGACGAGATGTGTAATACGCGTAGTAATCCGAAAATATTATTTTTATATATATTGTAGTTACTTAAATACTTAAAGTTCTTTACTGATTTCAATATTGAAATTATTAAATATATATAACAATAATTATGTAGGATGTATTTATTCATATAAATATTATTATCTTTAATATATCTAATCATTAAAGAAAGATAAGAACAAAAAAAAAGGTAATAAAAGAAAGGAAAATGAAACAAATCAAACTGTCGATAACCATTTTAATATTAAACTTATATTAACTGCGACATTCAAATCAATTATAATAAAAAAAAGGATTTTAACATAATCTAGGGACTAGAAGACTGTACCGAGCTCTAACATCACTTATTAAAAAAAATATAAATTAAAATAATCATTACAAAGAAAAACAATGTCCAAAAATTACACAAAATAAACATAGATTATATACATTAATGTTTTGGCTTTCAACAAACTGGTCGGTTGTTTTGGTTCAGAGTATCTTAAGTCTAGGATCCATTGGCTGACGCTTACACATAAAGGAATGCTTTCAAAACAGATATGTATGAAAATGATATGCCGGGATTGAGCTGGCTGAGATGTGAAGGCACCGGCTCGCTACAGGCTGCACTAGTGTAGCTGACACTGACTAGGAGCTTGGATGAGCTCGGCGCTTGACATCACAATAACTTAAATGCATCACAAGTTTCACAAGTGTTTGGACGTACATGTTAATGAATTACACCTAGCAACACTACTCTTATTAAATATAGTCAATACAATCATTATATTAAGAATCATCACTCATCACTTAACAACATAATTACCTAACACATATATACATATCTTTTTGGGTCTACACTTAATATTACAAGGATGGTGCGTTCATTCCTTTGCTTTTTGGCATGGCTGGTCCACTGTCACTGTCAGATCATGACTTGTATGTACGTATGACGTCTTTGATCTGCGCGCGGCACAGCGGGCACTGGCCGCCGCCCTTGCCCCTCCACTGCTGCACGGCGCAGCGGTAACACATACACATGTGTCCGCACATGTACAGCACACTGTCCACGGGGTTCTCGAAGCAGATCGTACACTCGGCGCCTGTCAGGTTGCCTTCTAACATGGAGTACTGTCGGCTGGTGGAGGGGAGAGGTTGTACTTGTTGCAGACGCTCAGTAGTGGGGGGCAGGGTCAGCTGCTCGTTACAGCTGTTCTGTGAGCTGGAGGCGCAGTGCTCGCGGCGGTAGGGGGCGACACACAGCTGGGACGACTGGAGCGGCTGTGGAGAGAGAGTTCATTATATGTAGATATAGTAATATCAGTCAGTGGTGGTCTAGTGGTTAGTGGCCTCTCATACATGAGGGCGCGAGTTCGATCCTGGCAAGTACCAATGTGATTTTTTCGAGTCATATGTACTTTACAAAAGTATTTAGACATCACTGATTAATGCATTCCCAAAGAGGGTTGATGTCAGGCAGACGGCCGGTCATAAAAACAATTAGCTAAAACTATTTATAATATGTAAGGCAGATGGCTAAAGCTGGGAAAATTGCCAGGTAGAAGAAAAAGAAGTAATATTTATGTATGTGTTTGATGTTTACCTCTATGTAGTGAGCGCTGGCGAGTGTGAGCGGCTGCTGCTGGTGCTGTTGGTGTTGCTGCTGCTGCGGCGGCAGGCTGACCACCAGCACGGTCCCGCCGGGCGCCGCTCCCAGCACCCGTACAGCGGGCGGCGCGGGCTGTGCGGGCGGGGAGGGCGCGGCCGTACTCAGTAGCCGCACCCTCTGCGTCGCTCCGTATATGTCCACGAAGGCCCACAGCCGCAGCGTGTGGTCCACGTGCATGAGGGTGGCGGGCGGCGCGCCGTTCCTCCCCAGGCGCACCTCCCCGTCGTGTGTGAGTGTCACAGCCAGCTCGTCGCCCCTCCTCAAGCCGGAAGCCGCGTCCCTCTTGAGCACCCAGTACTCGGGCCGGTCCAGCAGCTGGTCGGCGTCGTCGGGCAGCGCGTCCTGTGTGAGTAACGCGGGGTCGCACGACGTGAGGCCTATCGCGAGGCTGCCGGCGTAGGCCGCCTCTGTAGCGAGGATCTGCACTACGATGGTCTGTCCGGGCCTCATGGGGCGCGCCGTGAACACGTATCCTTGACAGAACTCAGCGTCAGCGCGCGCCGCGACGCCTCTATCGTTAACGTAGTGCACATTTCTGCCGCGTGTTCTGTGTAGTGTGAGCGGCACCAGCGGGCTCTGATGTCGTGGCGCGGGGAGCGGTTCATCCACGGTCAGCGCCCTCATCCCCCCGACCAGTCTGTCTTCTTCCCCGGGAGTCTGCGCACATCGTCTGTGTCCGGGCGCCCGCGGGTCAGTGAACTGCACGGCGGTACAGTTCCCGTACACATCTATCAGAGCCCACAGCGGGCTCCTGGTGTCCACTCCACTGAAGAACAGTCCCTTATCCTCCCCGTTGACTCCGAATAGCACGTCTCCGTTACTATTCACGTAGTAGTAGAGCACGTTGTCCTTCTCACAGAACCTCTCCCCCAGCGCCTTCGCCCAGTTGCCGGGCTTGTTGGTGAGGTCGGGGCAGGCGTACTTGGGTAGAGGGTGCGCGAGGGTCGCGGGGTCGTGACCCGTGAACCCGAACCTGATCACGCCGCTCCAACTGTTGGAGATCTCTACGAAGCGGATGCACACCTGGAACAGACACACGACAATAAATACTACGTCTAAAAAAGGCACATGCGGAAACCCCCCCTAATCCCAGGAAATAGTAAATAGAATAAGTTAGGTACACAAAATAGATAGTATAAAAGAGATGTACGCCAGAAAGAATAGTATGAAGAATGAGAGGCCCTCGTACAAGTGAGAACTGGAATGACAATAACGAAGCAAACAAGGTCAAGAGGGAATAGATAAGAAAAAAAACATAGAACTATTGGATAGTATTATGAGGCTCTCTTAAAATAAGGTATAGAGCCTACCTTCTCATTAACTCTGACGGGCCTCGCGCTGAAAGCGACGCCCTTACAGAAGGACTCGACCCGGCGCGCCGTGCTGCCGTCACGAGACACGCGCACGTTCTCACCGTGGACCGAGTGGAAGCTCAGGGGGGGGAGGTTGTTGGGCGCGCCGCCGGAACACGAGGAGCGGGGAGCTGGAACAAACAGACGGACACACATTAATAAATGGATAAAGGATAATATTTGGTATAGATATAGATGGAACCCTTGACAAAGCCATAGGCTATCTTTTATCTACGGGTGGAAACACTTAAAAATGACCATAGTGACAAAAAAACTCTGATAATGTGATCTAAGACTTTCGCGAGAGTTCATTTAAATGAAACTAATATTATTCGTATTACTACGTGTATTTGTAAACTACATACTCCCGACGTTACGGTTACTTTGAAGCAATTTCTTCTCGTCTTCGTGATATCGGTTGCAAAGTAACTAAAATATTAGGATTGTGTAGTTTTTATAAAAATAATGCGCGAAGTATAAACAAAAAATACAAGTTTCATTTAAATTGTTTCAAACTAGTAAGTCTTAGATTTCTTTGTGATATGATGAGTTAAAATACCTTGAACGCGTGGTAATACAAATAATACATATACATAAGTTTCATTTAACACGATGCTTACTTAACTATTGTACTACTATTATTATTACAAATTTTCTTCCGAGCAATCTGTTCATTATCTAATCTCGTGATAAATATTTATTAATGTACGATACTATCAAACAGTTTGTTCTACGTCACTTCTCACTTATAGTAAACTTAATCATCATCATCATTCTATCAGAGCCCACTGCTGTAAGGCCTCTCCTCACATGGAGAAGGTTAGAGCATTAATCACCACGCTCGCTCAAGACGAATTGGTGTTACAAACTTATAATTTGATATAAGTCAATATTTCATCATATTTTCCATTATTAGTCAGTGATGTCTAAATACTCTTAAGTACATATGACTCGGAACAATCACATTGATACTTTCCAGATATCGAATCCGCGTCCTCATGCATGAGAGGCGGACCTTTAACCACTAGGCCACCAAAACTTCAGTAATATTATCCCTACTAATATTATAAAAGCGAAAGTAATTCTGTCTGTTTGTTACGCTTTCACGCCTAAACCACTGAACTAATTTTAATGAAATTTGGTACAGACAGAGTTGACCTTGAGAAAGAACATAGGATAGTTTTGATCCCAGACTTTTGAAAGGTTCTCTTGGAAACGCGATATAACCGAACTCCATACGAGCGAATTTGCGGCCGGAAAGCTAGTTCAATAATAAGTCAAACCCTACTTCCAATGAGTATTTCTAACTTAATATAGTTTCTTAACGCTCGCCACTCGTCAGTTCTTTGTGTTATTTGCTGAGCGACAGTGCACCTTATCACCAGGGTGTGAAGGACTACCCTCGCGCCGCGGCTCCACCTGCCAGCGACAGATGTACGAGTCTCGACCCCTTGTAAATAACTTTTGTATTGACTACACTTATAACACGACTATGTCTTTAAATAATTCTTTGTATACACATTATGTATTAAATTAAATATAACTTTTACATTCGACTTCGTCTGCGTAAAAAAGAACAATGAAAAAACAGACAAAAATGTTATTATGGTTTATGTACCATCTATGTGCATATGTATGTACTAAAAAATTATTATTTCAATATTACAAACAGATGATCCAATTATATTTATTTGTATATACATATTGAGTTTCTGTATGAAAATTCGGTTCAAAAAACCGTATACATATCCCCGTAATATTACTTCTTCTTCAACCTGACAATTTCCCAGCTTTAGCCAGGGTCTGTCAAAAAATAACTCTTCCGCAGAACATGTTATAGATAGTTGCGGCTAATCCCTACTAATATTATAAAAATGCGAAAGTAGTTCTTTCTGTCTGTCTGTTACGCTTTCACGCCTACACCACTGAACTGATTTTAATGAAATTTGGTACAGACAGAGTTGACCTTGAGAAAGAACATAGGATAGTTTTTATCCCAGACTTTTGAAAGGTTCTCTTGGAAACGCGATATAACCGAACTCCACGCGGACGAAGCTGCGGACGGAAAGCTAGTATTCTTATAATCTTTAATCTAAACTATAATATTTTTAACCATCTTTACAGTAAGATGTATTCCCCCATACTCCATACTTCATACTCCCCTCGAGCCTATGTATCCCCATACACACAGCACGTGCTTCCTGTTAAAGCGGAACTAAAAACGCTGCCATTTTCGTGTTCACACTATTGTGAGTAAAGCACGTGTCATTGTAATTACTATAAGTACCAGGTTCAAATACAATATATAGGCGATTTATATCTTCATTATTTAAATATACATATAAAGAAAGTCGTGTTAGTTACACTATATATAACTCTAACGACTGTACGGATATGGATGAAGATTGGTGGAGAGATAGATTAGAACATAGAAAGGACATAGGATACTTTACATACGATAGAAAAACAAAAGAAAAAAATAATAAATAGATCAAAATCTTCTTATCTACTGTCTTTAAAGAACAGAGTTCGCCTGATTACTAATTATAAAACTAAAGCGGACAAAGCCGCGGGCAGAAACTAGTAAGTTACATACGATAAATATTCCCAAATAGTTCAAAAAATAACTAGTCTCTGCTAAGTCGGTTATAGAATAACTTTAAGTCTTGCGACACACGAAGCGTGGAGACGTTCACTAGTACTTACTACAGGTCTGTCACAAAATACGCAGCGTTCAAAGTATTTGATATATAAACAAAATATTGGAATTTATTATGCATTTTCTTTTCGATCGAACGGAATTACATATCCTATGTCCTTTCTATGTTCTAATCTATCTGTCCACCAATCTTCATACATATCCGTACAGCCGTTAGAGTTATATATAGTGTAACTAATATGACATTCCTTTATATAATAAATTTATCGTAGTATAAAAGTTTCTTATTCCCAAAGAGGGTTGATGTAAGGCGGCCGGTCGTAAAAACAATTACAATACTATTCACAACATGTAAGGCAGACCCTGGCTAAAACTGGGAAATTGCCAGGTAGAAGATCGTAGTATTAACGTTAAACTGTCAGTATATAGTTTCCGAACCCGTAGTTACAACACCATAATGTTCCCATACGCGGAACTATTTGAAAGGTCTCCCATGGCAAAGGACGAGCCGCTTACTATATTTTGTATTGGTTACCTAACTTGGATGTACAACTGTTATATACTAGTTTATGTACGCGGCTATGTCCGAATTAAATATTGTGTAATATGTCACGTGATCTCATACTATTACATTATTTAAAAGAAACTATATTATTGGAGAATTTGATCAAAAATAGTTCAGTATATTTGAAATGTGTCAGTTGTAGTGTCCTAGTGGTTAAAGATCCGCCTCTCATGCACGAGGGCGCGGGTTCGATCCTGTCAAGTACGAATGTGATAGTTCCGAGTCATATGTACTTAAGGGTATTTAGACAACACTGACTGATGAAGGAAAATATAAGTATTAACATGGACTTGTATCAAATTATAAGTTTGATATCACCAACCCGTGTTGAGCGAGCGTGGTGATTAATGCTCTAACCTTCTCCATGTGAGGAGAGGACTTACAGCAGTGGGCTCTGATAGGATGATGAGGAGTACCTATTTTATTTTTACTTTAAAGGTATATTTTCGTATCATCTGTTTCATCCGAGGGGGTGGTAGTGCCAGGTGTTAGTCACGGGACACCGGAAGTCATGGAGATTTCCTACCCTTGGGGAGAGACCGGATATTGACGAAATATTATACTATTATAGATCCACTTTATATATATACACTTCAAATTTTACTGTACCTAAAATGATACAACTCTCAAACTATCAAAGTTAAATAAAGAGTGACTATAATCTATTTATATGTATTTGTATATCTTAATTCAATTTGTTCATCATAACAACAGTCCTCTGTTACGTTTTTTTATTTATATTTTTGGAGTTTACCTATTAAAGCCATAAATCTCCGTGTTTTGAAGTGCGACAGAATGATTGACATATTATGTAGTTAGTTGTCAAATCTAATGTAAAAAAAAAACGTTTGTATCAACAACTACTAATAAATAATAAAATAATTAAAAAAACATTGTCCAGCGGACGAAATTGTGAATCAAAACCATTCCCAGATTCCCTTGAACACACACAAAAAATTTCATCAAAATCGGTCCAGTCGTTTGAGAGAAGTTCAGTGACATACACACTCACAGAAGAATTATATATATAAAATAAAGATACATAACAGTGTGCAGTGATCAGTGTCGTATTAAATGTCACGTGTGACGTCATCGCTGCTCTTCCTGGTGGCCGAAGCCCTAATATTAGCTTGTGACGTACACACTGGGCTAGATCTAGTAATAGGCCGCGTATAACACACGACAACTGAATGATTTATATGATTATAGGCTCTCAATCATCAGTACCTTCAAATACTAGCCTTTATAGGATATAGGTAATGTAATTATTTGTATTAAAACTATACAAAAGTATAATTAGTTGTTTTATCTAGACTAGAACTATCAGAGCCCACTGCTGAGCCTCTTCTCACATGGAGAAGGTTTGAGCATTAATCACCACGCTAGCTCAAACTTATAATTTAATATAAGTCCATGTTTCCTCATATTTTCCTTCATCAGTCAGTGATGTCTAAATACTCTTAAGTACATATGACTCGGAACAATCACATTGGTACTTGCTAGGATCGAACCCGCGCCCTCACACGAGAGGCGGTCTTTCAACCACTAAGTCACTACGTTATTTTCAATATATGTGTATGTTTTATTTATTATTTCTAAGTTTATTTCGTCTCCCTCCAACGAACACCCTCGGGACGCGAGACGCTCGCCCGAGCGTGTCTAAACGTCATAATACACTTAATATTAACTTCTATAGTTTAGTTTTGATTTAATATTATTATATATATAAATGAAAGTCGTGTTAGTTACACTATATATAACTCTAACGACTGTACAGATATGGATGAAGATTGGCGGAGAGATAGATTAGAACATGGAAAGGACATAGGATACTTTACATACGATTAAAAATAGAAAAATAAGTTGATCAAATACAAAATCTTATCTACTGTCTTTAAGAAATGGAG